AAAGATATAGAGATGACGGCAAGACATAGGGTACATATAGATAGGAAAATGATAATAATAAAAAGATAGAGATGACGGAAAGAAAGAGAGTAAACACTGATAGCACAAGAATGAATAAAGATAATAAGAGAAATATATAGAGATGACGGCAAGACATAGGATACATATTGATAGGAAAATAATAATAATAATAAGATAGAGATGACGGCAAGACATAGGATACATATTGATAGGAAAATAATAATAATAATAAGATAGAGATGACGGCAAGAAAGAGAGTAAACACTGATAGCATAAGAATGAATAAAGATAATAAGAGAAAGATATACAGATGACGGCAAGACATAGGGTACATATAGATAGGAAAATGATAATAATAATAAGATAGAGATGACGGCAAGAAAGAGAGTAAACACTGATAGCATAAGAATGAATAAAGATAATAAGAGAAAGATATAGAGATGACGGCAAGACATAGGGTACATAATTATAGATAGGAAAATGATAATAATAATAAGATAGAGATGACGGAAAGAAAGAGAGTAAACACTGATAGCATAAGAATGAATAAAGATAATAAGAGAAAGATATAGAGATGACGGCAAGACATAGGGTACATATAGATAGGAAAATGATAATAATAATGAGATAGAGATGACGGCAAGAAAGAGAGTATTACACTCATAGCATAATAATGAATAAAGATAATAAGAAAAAGATATACAGATGACGGCAAGACATAGGGTACATATAGATAGGAAAATGATAATAATAATAAGATAGAGATGACGGAAAGAAAGAGAGTAAACACTGATAGCATAAGAATGAATAAAGATAATAAAAGAAAGATATAAAGATGACGGCAAGACAGGATACATCTTTCTTTCATTAGTTTTATTCATTCTTATTCTATCACTGTCTACTCTCTTTCTTGCTGTCATCTCTAGCTCTTTCATTAATTTTTATTCATTCTTATTCTATCAGTCTACTCTCTTTCTTGCTGTCATCTCTATCTCTTTCTTTCATTATTTTTATTCATTCTTATTCTATCACTGTCTACTCTCTTTCTTGCTGTCATCTCTATCTCCTTCTTTCATTTTTTTTATTCATTCTTATTCTATCAGTCTACTCTCTTTCTTGCTGTCATCTCTAGCTCTTTCATTAATTTCTATTCATTCTTATTCTATCAGTCTACTCTCAGGGAACACTTTTATCACTAGAGTCTTCGTCACTGCTCGATTCGTCGGAATCAGAGTCCATGCTCCATGCTTCCATAGTAACAAGATCTCGAGCCTCCTCTACACTAAACACACGTTGACGTTTTCCAGCAGGTGCCATCGTAACATCAGTAAAAAAAATCCAAAGAAAACCGCTAAATACACGGTAATTTCGAATGTAACACTATGAAGAAAAACAGTTTACCGGAAAGTGTGCGATGTATACAATGTAAACAATAGTAAACGCAACGCGTGGCTACACACTGCGAGCGGTATTATGAATGTCTAATTGACTCGTATACATCTGTGCAAAAATGCGAAGTTGGCACGCCTACGTCCGTGCAAATCGGCGAACAAAGCAAACAAAGAGTTAATAACGGAATGATCGACCGTTTAACATAAATCTCCGTGCGCGCGAGCTCTTGTAATACATAGCATATATGGGCAAAAACATGCCTATACAAAATCCATTGTAGCTCTTTAGGATGCAAGGTGACCCCAATTTGTTTTCATATTTTGATAGAGTATGATTCGGAGATATTGTTTCATGTCACATTTGACCTTCAATTAACTCATGACTTCATCATAATGGCCTCCGAACTCAAAATTCCAATTTGCATATTATGACGTCAGCATATTTATGGAAAATTGATTGTATCTCTGTAAATAGTGATTGATTTTCTTCCAAATTTTGAAATGTTCTAGCTGAGACAATTTTCTACAAGGAAGTCATCACAGTTGTTAATTTTGACAAAAGCATTATGGCGTATTTTTGTGATTAAAGGAGGCATGTCAATTTTCACATTTTGCGTGTATTCTCTATGGGACATGATTTTTTCTCAAAACTCGATTCTACATTCCCGTCTTTCGCGAGCAATATCTACTTTGTTTTTGCTTCATTTACGCTGAACTTCGAGTATGTTGTAGCTGAGACAAAAAGCTATCTCAAATGTACCCTTTATTTTGTCTCAATTTTTTGTTGGATCAGCCCACCTATACTTGTTCCAAACAAGTATTACAAATCTAGTTTTTTCTTCTTATTTCTAACCACTTTTTTGTTGGCAGGATAACTTGAAAATGGCTCAATCAAAAGCTTTGAAATTTGGCACACATGTGTAAAGGCATATGTACAAAGCACAATAACGTTTTCAACATTGACCTTCACTGATGACGTCATCTAGGCGCCATTTTGTAAAATTTTCGGAAAATCAACACATGATCATATCTTAATAACCAAAAGATATTTCTCATTCATATTTATCATGATCAAGGTCAATATCCGTCTGGTCAATTTCAGGTCAAAAAAAGCGCGCGTGCGCGTATGTCTGCGCGTCAGTGCGCGCGCAAAATTTAAAAATGCTCCAAATAGTCTCAAAATTTTTTTGCGTACGCTTAAGGCCATTTTAAGCATTTTATAAAAATTCGTGCACACGTGCGTGCGTGCGCGCGCGTTTTCGCGCGTAAAACATTTACACAACTTAGAATCATTTTTTTTCTGTCAAGCACCTTGTTCACGTTTTTCTGACCATTATTAATGGCATGAACGTCCGTTTAAGATACACGTCTGTGCGTGCGAGCTCTAGTAATGCATAGCATATACGGGCAAAAACATGCCTATATAAAATCCATTGTAGCCTATTAGGATGCAAGGTGACCCCAATTCTTTTCTCCATATTTTGATAGAGTATGAATCGGAAATATGATTTCCTGTCTCATTTGACCCTTAATTAACTCATGACGTCATCATAATGGCCTCCGAACTCAAAATTTGAATTTGCATATTATGACATCAGCATATTTTAAAAAAAAATGATTATATCTCTGTAAATATCGATCGATTTTCTTCCAAATTTCGATATGTTCTAGCTGAGACGATTCATTACAAATGCAGTACACAAAAATTTTCATTTTGACAAAGGTATCATGGGGTATTTTTGCGATTAAAGGAGGCATGTCAATTTTTCACTTTTTGCGTGTATTCTCTATGGGACATGACTTTTTCTCAAAACTGGATTCTACATTCCCGTCTTTCGCGAGCAATATCTTCGTTGTTTTAGCTTCGTTTACGCTGAACTTTGAGTATGATGTAGCTGAGACATTTAGCCATCTCAAATGTGCCCTTTATTTTGTCTCAAATTTTAGTTCGACCAGCAAAGCCATTGTTATGAATCTTTCGTTGGTGATAGATCTAAGTCTAACTTAGAACTGCGTGACTTTTCAAAGACTCAAAGTCATCGTGACATCATCCAGGCGCCATTTTGTGAAAATCAACTATTAATCATATTTGGCACATTTTTCCAAGCATTTTGATAATTTGTTCACCTTTTATTAACGCAATGAGCGTCCGTCAAAGTTGACAGCACGCGCGGATTTGCGTTATCTTTATCCACAATACATGGGCAAAAACATGCCTATATAAAATTCATTGTAACTCTTTCAAATAGATAGAAACTCCTAATATTTTTTCATATTTGGATAGATTATGAAATGGAGATATGATTTCATGTCTCATTTGACCCTCAATTAAGTCATAATATCATCATAATGGCCTCCAAACTCAAAATTTAAATTTGCATATTATGACGTTTGCATATTTTGGAGAAATTGATTGTATTTCTGTAAATATAGATTGTTTTTCTCCTAAATTTCGATATGTTCTAGCTGAGATAATTTTCTACAAATGCAGTGACCACACCTCTCCAGTTTGACAAAGGTATCATGGCGTATTTTTGCGATTAAAGGAGGCATGTCAGTTTTTCACATTTTGCGTGTATTGTCTATTGGACATGACTATTTCTCAAAACTGGATTCTACATTTCCGTCTTTCGCGAGCAATATCTCTGTTGTTTTATCTTTGTTTACGCTGAGCTTCGAGTACGTTGTAGCGGAGTCAATAAGCTATCTCAAATGTGCCTTTTATTTTTTGATCAGATGCCGGGATCATGCTCATATTGCACTTGCAAAGTGGGATTTGAGAATCCCATTTTCCGTTTACGTGTAATCGCTATGTGAATTGTTTTGGTATATCGTTAACTCACTTGACTTCTATCCTCGAGGTCCCTGGTTCGAGTCTGGGCGTCTCTAACCATTTTTTTTTTCCTTTACTTTTTTTTTTCTTTTTGACCTTTCACTGTACCATCTCCTTTGATTATTAAAACACGTAGATCCGTAATGTAATAAACTATTTGCTTTATTATTACCCTATTTTCACTTAAACGATTACTTTTTGTGTCTAATCCCTATGGGAGATGACTTTTCCTCAAATCTGGATTCTACATTTCTGTCTTTTGCGAGCAATATCGCCGTTATTCCTGCTTGGATTTTGTTGATGTTTGAGGATGTTGTAGCTGAGACTATATGCTATCTAAATCACCCCTCTTTTTTTCAATAAGATATCAGGATCACGCTCAGGATCATGATCATCTTCATTATCATCATGATCATCATTATCATAATGATGATAATTTTTTATCAATTACATTTTCATTTCTTTGAATAAGATAAAATCATCAAAATGTGTTCTTCATGATGTAAATTAGAGTCAAAGGTGTAACCGGTTACTAATCTGTCTTCCCTAGATCCATAATGATCAAGGGATCGACACAATTTAAACTTGAAATATGGATAGATCATAATGGGAAAAGTATTTTATGAAATAATATGATATCGTGTATTAAATGCATTCTTCGTTATGTAAACCAATATCATACGTATCACCTAATTCGTCTAAGTGACGAATTAAAGTCTAGTTCTTTTTGTTTCTCTCTTCAATCAGCGTTTTAGTACGAATGCCATGCTTCCTATTTGACTGGCTATACTGCTTGGTATGACAGAGACGGAAAGCAGAAAAACTACTGGGGTGGAGCCACGGTAGACAGCGGACAGTGCGCTTGTGGAATCTCAGGTATGATTGTAGGTCATCATAGAGGGCGTCCTTGGATTACTGGATCAGAGTCATCCATGTGCAGAGTTTGGCCAACTTGGCATCAGTTGGTTATAACATGACGTATGTGTATTCATTTGTTTTGTGCTAGCTCTCGACAAAGCAGTATTCGCAATTTTGTTACCAACTAATACCGTGTTGGTCAAACTCTGTATATTGATTGCTTTGCACTGAATGGAATGAGATTATCTCACATTAATACAACATCAGTAATGTCTCAAATAGTGAAGTACTATACCATAATATAAACCGAAAAATTGGCGTTGAAAAAGTTGTCAACATTGCAGCTAAGCAAACCAATAACATCGAAAAAAAATGTAAACACGTTTAATTTGAAATGAACAACCTACATATCCCATCCAGATAAGCTATGAACGAATGAATGTTGATCTTCGTCTTTCAGGTTCATGTCACAACGGTCACCAATGCAACTGCAACACCAAAGACGATGCCTGGAGAGAGGACTCGGGATATCTTACCGATAAGACTACCTTACCTGTTACTGAAATGAGGTTTGGTGATACAGGAGACACCGTCGAGTACGGGTATTATACACTAGGACCATTATACTGCAAGGGAGATGAATCTTGTAAGTTTTATATGAAAATGATCATCTATTATTACATAGCTTCGAGAAAAAAAATCTTATCCTTGAAAAAAGTTGTCAATAAATTTATCTGGCACTATGACTTCCAGAAAGAGAAGTAGTATGAAACAAAATTAAATTTGTGCTCCAAGAAAAGGTGGTTATTATACTTGTTAGATGATAGAGATGATGGTTACGTTGACAATGCAGATAATGATCTTAACGATGAATATAATGATGATGATGGAGATAATGATGATTTTTATTATTATGCTAATAATGATGTCCATGATGACAACGGCGACGACGACAATGCAGATGTTACTAATAATGATCCCGATGATATAAACATCAGGAATTACCATTCTGGTAAAATATTTGGTGAAATGACACTGACCCTGTGCTTCGTCCTTTCTTTCCATTCCTTAGTCCTTGTGACGGGTCGTACAGATTTCATGTTCATCAAAGAAAGGTACCTTGGTGGTTACAACAACGCAGTCCTGTCTAGCATCACGGTTGAAGATTGCGCCACGGCCTGTGTGTCAGCCTCCAGCTTCATATGTAGATCGTTTGACTATAATCCATCCTCCAGCAGGTGCTATCTCAGTGAGGAGAATGACTTGACTGTTGACCCATCTAGCGATCCTGTTTATCACCTGTTTGTTCGGATCAGTAAGTTCTCAATTCTATGTCCGTCTAATGGATTCTTACTTAGCTAAGAGGGCACTGATGTGGTGACATTATTAGGGGGTTTTCGCAAGCTAAACGCGGACGGAGAATATGTGGTTCGTGTGCAAAATCGAGAAGCTACTATAGTAACATCGGGGTGACCGCTAAGGTACTGAAATCCAAAACGGGTTTTGGCCAAATCTACGGGCGTTTTCAATGACGCCCCAAGTGGATCAAGTGCCTCGATACAAACTATTTCATTCACCTGGTAATAATAATAGTATTTCAATAGACAGAATCCAATCTGCATACATTAGTAGTTGCCACACCTAATACATGCAGTTTGGATTCTGACTATTGAAATACTATTATTCTTATCAGGGGAATGATATAATTTGCATTAAGGCAATTCACAAAGACTTATGCATTAAATTTAGTTACATTACGAAAATGGCCTATTTTGATTACATTACGAAAATGGCCTATTCCCTGCCAGGCAATACAGTACAGACGGGACTACACGACTAGCACAACTTGTCTCGACAATGCCACAAAACGGCTTTTTATCATATTTCAACAATTTTTTTAACAATTCATGTTATATCCATATGCATGTTGTTATAGTTCCGAAACAATAATCGAAGAAAAAAAAGAGCCGTTCGCGTTGAAATTCGTCCTCCATCGTTATAAAATGACAACATTCCCATACCATATTTGGTACAAGCTCGCTAATTGGCTGTTTATTCACTTGGGGCGTCAATGAAAACGCCGGTAGATATGGCCAAAAACCCGTTCTGGATTTCAGTACCTTAGCGGTCTCCCCGCTGTTACTATAGTTGCTTCTCGATTTTGCACACGAACCGCAGATTTTCCGTCCGCGTTGAGCTTGCGAAAACTCCCTTATGTTTGTCGAACCTGACAACAACTAATGTATGCAGTTTGGATTATGTCTATTGAAATACTATTATTCTTATCAGGTGAATGAAATTTGTATCTAGTTTGTATCGAGCCATTAAATTTGGTTACAATCATTACGGAAATTGCCTGTTGGCATTGCGTTGCAATACTTCCGTACTTTACGTTCGCGTTCACCGAAAAGCGAAACCGCTTATTGTAACGACGGACGACCGTAACCCTAAGTGCTCCTGCGTCGTAGAAGGTCTGTCCGTCGCTGAGCGAAAACTCGCTATTGTATTTGATTTACAACAGCCGTTCGATTCAATTCAACAGCCATTCAATCAGTCAACAGTCAATACACCCAGGCATTCATTAAACAATCGTAAGAAACCTCCTGAGTTTGCAAATTAATGTACTCGGTGTTGCTGGATTTACCGTTCGCTTTTTAAACTATTCCGAAATGTTCCCCCAGCTCCTAGTTAGGCAAAATTCCACCTGACTGTGATACACTTTGCATTAACAAGAATTAATTTTTATATTAATTCCAATCTTTTTTTCTCACCTTTGTCTCCTCAGTGGACCGCATTAAAGACCCATTTACTGGTGGGTAAATCACCTTATTTTGTTTTTCATTAGCAAGATACGAATTGATAGTGATGTGTTTAAAAGTATGGTATTGCAATGTTCGTTACCGTTTGTTAACATGAAATGTATTTTCATCAATGATTATTTTTTAATAAATGTAATGCTTCTTAAGCAGGGCTCCCACTTAGCTGAGTTGGAGCCTCGAGTTGTGGCGAGCTGGTGCGAGCTTGAACTCGCGTAAAGTCGCGGGAACTCGCTTGAAATTTACTCATTTGTATGGTATTTGCATGAATCATCATACGACGCATTGTCGAGTTTCCTACGATGAATGTACGAGTGAACCGAGCGCATTACGAGTCACGCCAGCTCAGTATGAGATGCGATGTCTTGCGTACGACTTGTACCGATCTATACTACTAACGAGTGATGAAAGTTTTCTATGAGTCATATGCAAGGGGCGGGAATGCATACTATTGACTAGGGGTGGCCAAGCAACTCCCAAACTTATTATTATGATAATTATTATTACTTATACCGCGCTTTTCACATAGGGCCCAAAGCGCTTACAGTGAATGAAAATAAAAATTAAATAAATACATATAATTACAACTACAAACTGCAAAAAAAGATGTGTTTTTAAGGTCTTTCTGAAGGTAATAACTGATGGAGACTGATTCTGATTCTAAGTGGTAGATCATTCCAACATTTTGAAGCAGATACAGTAAATGTCCTGTTACAGGCTATTGTGCGGGTAACTGAATATGTGAGACGGAGAGGATCACTGGCTGACCTCAATGCCATAGGACAATAACTTTTATAAGTGTAATGCTTCCTGGGAGAAATTTATTTAAACATATTTGTGGCTTACACCCAGTAAATAGGGACTTTTAGATTTGCACGTCGACAGCTTTGACTGCAACGTGTGACGTCATTTTAAGGCACTGCGCATGCGTCACGTCGTCTCAGTCGGCGATCGAGAATGCGTCACCTTGATTTTCCTACATCTAGTACGGTACTAGTATGCCGCGTGCGCAAAAAAATATACAGTTCCTCAGGTAGACAAAGGAACATGTCTTCCCTGCTATTATGTAAAAATGTGGCGAACAGGTGTTACATGCATATTCACCTGTTCTACACGCTTTTACATAATAGCAGCGAAGGGATGTTCTTTTGTCTTCCAAAGCAATTGAGGGTAGAATGAGGAACTGTATATGTTGTCCTCCTTCTTTGTCCGTCATATTCATAGTGTTACTTCTTGCATGCATGTATATCGTCGAGTGAAATCTAAAAGATTTCTAATTGTAGTCAGCATGGGCAGTTGAGTACGTTGACACGCATGATCAGTCGGCGTTCGTCGTGTTCTCGTCAACTTAATCTAATAGTCCCTAATAAGATCGGTTGGTCGATCTGTAATTAAAAAACAAGTCAGAAAAAATATTGGAACCAGCGGGACTGTGCCATGGACCAGTGATGGCCTGGTGGTAGAGTCACTGCCCGGCAAGCACAAGATGCAGATTCAAGTCTGACTTATTTTCAATTACAGATCGATCAATCGATGTTATGTACTGGGTGTAAGCCACCATAGGCGCCGGAAATGTGGGGGGCGCTCGCCCCCCCCCCCCACCCAAAAAAGTGGGAGGAAGGCAAAACGCCCCCATAAAAAAAGCAATAAAGGAGTAAAGATGGTTTGTGTTTTTTAACCAAAATGAACGTAACAATCACAAAAACCTGAATCGAATCACATACAAATTATATACCATTTAAAGAAAAGGAAAGTTAACAGGAATTAAAGTTCCAATACATTCCGCATGCCCCTATATTTATCAATGGCGGTTTTTATAATAGCGATACGCGCATATCGTAGAAATATTGTGATAGGATAGGAAAGCGTTTGTGTTGTTTATTATAGAGGTGACAAGACATGAGCCCCTGAACACTGGCGAACTGATGCCCGGGGTATTTCTAACTCGCTACAAGTGATTTACAAATGTTGCTGAAATGACATGATTTTCCGGTTATTTTCTCGATTTTTCTGTAAATCGTACCTTTTTATGCGTTTGTTGGAAGATAACAAATTCCCACATTTACAGTCGGGCGACAAAATATGCTTATTTATATTCCTTTAAAGCTAAAACGACGGAGATATTGCTCGTGAAAGACGGGAATGTAGAATCCAGTTTTGAGAAAAAGCATGTCCCATAGAGAATACTCGCAAAATGTGAAAAATTGACATGCCTCCTTTAATCGCAAAAATACGCCATGATGCTGTTGTCAAAATGAAATGTCGTGTTCAACGCATTTGTAGAAAATTGTCTCAGCTAGAACATATCAAAATTTGGAGGAAAATTGATGACCGTTTACTGAGATACAATCAATTTTCAACAAATATGCTGACGTCATAATATGCAAATTAAATTTTTGAGTTCGGAGACCATTATGATGACGTCATGAGTTAATTGAGGGTCAAATGAGACAGGAAATCATATCTCCGATTCATATTCTATCAAAATATGAAAAAAAAACTTGGTGTCACTATGCATCCTAAAGCGCTACAATGAATTGTGTATAGGCATGTTTTTGTCCATGTATACTATGTATTACAAGAGCTCGCACGCACGGACATGTATCTTAAACGGACGCTCACTCCGTTATTAATGGTCAGAAAAATCTGAACAAGGTATCAAAATGCTTGGAAAAATGTGTCAAATATGATGACAGAAAAAATTGGCGATTCTATGTTGCGAAATGCCATTACGCACCTTAATCATGATAAATATGAATAAGAAATACCTTTTCGTTATGAAGATATGATCATGAGTTAAAAGTACCCAAAAAACACAAAATGGCGCCTGGATGACGTCATGAAAACTTGATGACCTTAAAAATGTTCCTGTCACGTCTCATGACAATGACCTATGCCGGTCCAAAAATTGAAAGAAATTGACTAAACTGATCTTCAGTTATCCTCCGAACAAAAAAGAGGAAGAAATAAATATAAATAGAGAACTAGAAATTTAATTCGTCACGAAGACGAATAAGGTGGTCTGTTTAAGTCTCATGATATATTTGAGAATGGGAGAAGTTATATAGACATGTAAACAATGATGACATGATGATGATCATGATAGTAAAGGTGATGATGATGATAATGATAATGTTATATGACGATAAAAACGATAATGTTAATGATAATGATAATGATCATGATCATCATGATGATGATCATCTTCAGACCATGATGATGATGATGATGGTGACATTGATGATGATGATGATGATATTGATGATGATGATGATGATGAGCATGAGCATGATCCTGACATCTGATTGAAAAATGAGGAAATATGTAGTTAGCAAATAGTCTCAGCTACAACATACTAAAATTTGGGAGAAAACTGTTGAATAATAACCGAGATACTGGTCAAAACACATTGTCATGCAGATTCATGTTTTGAAAAAAGTGACCTCCCATAGACATAACACGCAAATATGACAAATTATGCATTGTCGCCTTTAATTGAATATTTAACTATGATGACGTCATCCAAATGAAAAATAAATGACATATTTCTGATAGAGAATTATCTCAGCTACAACATATCAAAATCTGAGAGAAAATCGATGACCGATAAGTGAGATAATCTCAATTAAACAAAAACAAAAATGACGTCATCAACAAAATACATTTTCTTTAGTTTAGATGCAAATATGATGATTTTGTTTCACTTTGTACGAGTCAGGGTGGTATGAAATCATATCTCCAACTCATGCTCTTTTCAACCATGATATAAAAATTGAGGGTCAACGGACTATCTGAAGAGCTATTTCGATTTATAAAGAAGCATGTTTTTGATAAAATTTACATTATATTGCCCATAGCAGCACGCGCGGAATTTGAACTTTGACGCGCGCTCACGGCCTTATGAAAGGTCATGAGTGACTGAAATTAATGTAAATTGTCATTTACGGTAAGAGGAATCTAAATCATGTAAACAAATTGAATTTGACCTTTTCCGCGCGTTGTGAGCGCGCGCACCGCGCGCGGGGACAAGTACGGACGGAAATTTTTGAAATGCTTAAAATGACCTGATTCGTACTCTCGTTTAATAGTTAAGTGATTTTGAGCATTTTAAAATTTTGACGCGCGCGTACGTGAGCGTCATGACCTTTATGTGACCTTTGATGACATGACTTGTTGACCCTTGACCTGAAGTATATGTGATATGAATATGAATGACCTTTGCTTAGGCATCATGAAGATATGATGGATAACGTGATTTCACAAAATGGCGCCTGGATGACGTCACAATGACCTGATGACCTTGAAAAGGTTACTGTCACGTCTCATGACAATGACCTATGACTGTGTCAAAATTGAAAGAAATTAACACAACCGATCTTGAGTTAACCGATGAACAAAAAACGGGGAGAAATAAAAATAAACTAGAAATTTAATTCGTCACGAAGACGAATAAGGTGGTCTGTCTTCAAGTCTTATAATAGATTATAATATTAACTATATTGAAAAAGGGAGAAGTTATATAGACATGTAAACAATGATGATTATGATGATGATCTTGATAGTAATGATTATGATGATGATGATGATGATGATGTTGATGAGGATGATGATCATGATCATGAGCGTGATTCTGACATCTTATCGGAAGAATGAGGGTGATTTAGATAACATATAGTCTCAGCGACAACATACTAAAATTTGGGAGAAAACTGTTGAATAACAACCGAGATACTGGTCAAAACACATTGTCATGCAGATTCATGTTTTGAAATAAGTGACCTTCCATAGACATAACACGCAAATATGACAAATTATGCATTGTCGCCTTTAATCGAATATTTAACTATGATGACGTCATCTAAATGAAAAATAAATGACATATTTCTGATAGAGAATTATCTCAGCTACAACATATCGAAATCTGAGAGAAAATCGATAACTAATAAGCGAGATAATCTCAATTAAACAAAGACAAAAATGACGTCATCAACAAAATACATTTTC